TTTTATAGGGAGATATAGCTACCTGTGCAGCTACTTGGTTACATGTATGGAGTATTAATGGTGAAGAACTTGCTAGTGTTAATACTTGTGTTGGTCGTGCTGATAGAATGCAGCAAATTTTATGCGTTGCTTTCAGTCAAACTCATGAATGGGATTCTCAAAATGTTATTATGACTGGTTCGACAGATGGTGTAGCTCGAGTAAGAATAATACAAAATTTGTAATATTGTATAATAATATGTATTATATGTATACAATTATTGTAAATATATGTATTATATGTATACAATAAAATGTATTGTGTATACAAAAAGAAATTACATATTTTATAGATGTGGTCAATGGATTATGTACAAGTGCCTGCAGAAGAAGAGAAACTAGAAGAAGTTATTACTACCAAAGAAAAACATATGAAGTCGAATAAAAATGAAAGTCAAAATGAAAATACAAAAAAGCGAGTACATGAATTAGTTAAACAAATGAGCATTTCTGCCGAAGGATCAAGTTTGCTTGCAAAAAGTGGTTCAGAAAGTAGTCTTTCAGAACCTGAAAATGCTAAAGAAGCATCAAGATTGCATGAAGAAAAAGAAGAATGTTCGGATAATGAATCGAGCAATGGTTCCAGTAATAAGCCATCGCCGCAAAATAATAATACTCCTACTATTGTACTCCGAAGAAAAAGTCGTGGAAATCCAATGTTTCGCAAAAGCGAAGGTGGTGGACGTGCAGATAGCGAAGGTACTCAAACAAGGTAATGAAATATAGTTTATTTATATTCTTAAAAAATTCAATTTTTATTATAATATTACCAATTAAATAAATTTATAGTGAATCATCAAATAATCCTGGAGATTCTGAAGGAGCTCTACGAGCTAGTAAAAGTGATACTAGTTTAACAGATAGTTTTGTTATGGTTACCGAAGCTGATACGAAACCTAAAAAAATTAATCCACAGAATATCTTAAGAGACGGTTTTAAATGGCAACGGCAATTAGTATTTAGAAGTAAATTAACGATGCATACTGCATACGATCGTAAAGATAACGCAGAACCTGCATCTATAACAGCCCTTGCAGTATCAAGGTATATTTATAATTTATTTATTATTGGAAATATTAAAAATAAAAAATATATAAAATATATTAAAATTAATTATATTAAAATAACTAAAATTAATTATATTAAAATAAGTTATGATAATTACAGAGATCATAGGACAGTATATGTTGGAGACACAAGGGGAAGAGTGTTCTCGTGGAGTGTATGTGAACAGCCGGGACGTACGGTAGCTGATCATTGGCTTAAAGATGAAGGAGCGGATTCATGTGTTGGTTGTGGAGTTAGATTTAATCTTTATGAGAGGAGACATCACTGTCGTAACTGTGGACAAGTATTTTGTTCAAAGTAAGTTACTATTATACTATAATAAAAATTATCTTAAATAATTTTTAATATTTTATATAAATTATATAGATAAAAATTCTAGAATCTATTTTATTATATTATTATTTTAAATATTTTGTTAATATTTTGTATATTTTATATACAGATGCAGCCGATTTGAATCGAAAATATCGAGACTTGGGATTTTAAAGCCTGTTAGAGTTTGTCAAGGTTGTTATTCATCATTACGCTCTCAGCATTCCGCTGAGAGTAGCACTTAAATATATAAAGTAATATATTATATTGTTTCATATAAATTATTAATTTTAAAGCGGGTATTGCAAGAATGTACATAATCTCATCGCGATGTACCCCTTTATGTTTTTATTCAAATTTTTGTACAAGAGAAACGAAGTGTGCATTTTCTTTTTATTTCATATCTTATGCAATAACTTAGTTTTAAAAAATTCTTGCATTTCTACGAGAAAAGTAGGAAAACCGATCGCTGTATTTATAATTCACATTTTTAGTTACAATAATTTTATATTACATGAATTGAAACTATTTTAAATCTTTTTTTTTTTCATGAATCAAACGCTTAATATATTACAATACATTCCTGTCGATTTTATAATATATTATTGTGTATACTTTTTACTGTTATAATGAACTAAGCTATTTCCTAATAATAATCGGCCTGTTTCACATTATCGACAGGTTTGTACTGGAAAATTTTTAAAAGACAGTATTTGAAAATTACATGATATTTAAGTCTCTAATTTATAAAGCACATATTGTAAGTCACAAATATTTTTGTTTCTAATATTCAAATCTTAATCATTTACTTTTATATATCATATATGTTTATATTTTATATGTCGAAAATCAATGTGTATAATTATTATATATTTAATTTATATGTTGCATTTACTTTTAACAGATTTTACATACAAGATTATGTATAGCAGCATTTGTTTAATAATCTGTGATTTTTTTTCCTACTTTAATTTAATGAATTTATGATTAATAGATTTGAAAAATAATCGTTAATAATAATAATAATAATAATAATAATAATAATAATAATAATAATAATAATAATATATAGAATATTATATTATTTATATGATTAATTTTTCTGTCAACGCTTACATCGTTTCTCATATTTGAATATATTAAATAATTATTGTTAATATTTATTTTAAATTATAACAAAAAGATAATACAAGATGTCAATATTGTTAATGGAAAAATATTAGATTTAATAATAGATAAACCAAAAATATCTATACCGTGTATTATTCATATTGCTTTCTTTATATTATATTATTTTATCTAAATGCTATTTAATAAAATGTTTTTGTTTCATTTTTTACAATATCGTCATGTATATATTGTGATAATAATACGCGGTGGTTAATATTCTAAAAATTGTCAATGATGTATAATTTATTACTGTATCATACAGATACATTATTGTATCAAACAGTCTTTTATTTTTCCATTCTTTAGAACTGAAAACATTAATAGTCTTGAAATTCAAGAATATATGTATTACAATTCAAAAAAAAAAAAAATGCAATTGCAGTGCACTCTTTGTGACCGCTGCCTATTGATAAAAAATTCATAACTTTATCATAGACAATACCTTAATTACATTAAAATGTTATTAATTCTAAGACGGTTATGAAACCATAGACTCTAAAACCAACAGTAATATTTTAAGCAATGTCATAAATGTGGAATACAATCGTTTGTTCATAAATTGATATATCATGAACGTATCTGTAAAATTAATAGTAAAAAAAAAGATGAATTAAAAACGTGTTCTTGGATAAATGTTTTGTAGAGTTTTGAAAATGGTAAAAAATTACGAATGCAACTTTCAGAAAAATTAAATTTATTTATCGATTAGGAAGAATCAAAAAATATTGACGAAACATATAAAGATGTGTATAAATATAATTGCTATATTATAAAAAAAAATTGTTTCCTTGTATGAATAATGAATTCTACTATTTATATTCTATCGATACACTTCCATTTTTCTAAAGGCACAAATTTTATAAGGATAAAAGATAGTGCGACAATTAAAAACCGAGAATGAGATAAACGCAGCTTCAATACATCGTGAAATATTGTTTTAACATGGTACTAATTAAGTACTATTGTTACTAGTCAAATACAATGTCAGCACAATGTTAACAAGCGTTCTTTCAGAAAGAATGTTTTTGATATAAAAGTTAAAAATAGATAATGATGGAAATAATGTAAATGAATTATTTGAATTTCTCAATTATGCAGTTGCATAAAGAGAATTACAGCGTATGCAAATAATATCTGTGTGTCATTATTACATGCCAGTTCTAATAAAACATTGCCAACTTTACTTTTGTACTTCTACTTATACATGCAAAAAACAAAGCTTATACTTAGTTTTACGATGGAATTGGAATGCTTGCAATTAATTCTAATTAACAAATGTAGATATTAATTTTGAAAAGAGTTTTTTACTGTTATTTATCTCTTTAAATAACTACAAGTTATATATAAAAATTTAGTTCTAAGGAATTAAAATTATTAAGACAAATCTTATAACAAAAGATATACTATTTTGTTAAAAAGAATTACAATATAATTATGTGTAATTGAAACAAAGTCATTATTTCGTTATATAAAAAAATAAGTATAACTTCTAGTCATATACAATGTTTTTTAGTTTTGATTATTATTATTATAAAATATATAAAATTTTTATTTTATAATTTTAAACAGTATTATATATATGTAATCATATTAAACTGCGTTGGTGTTTGTATACCATATATATTATAAAATAGATCCTTACATACAATTTATTGTGTATTTTATTACAAGATATCAGAAATATGTTTTACTTTAAAGCAAATTTTAAATTATATTGTTATTATGCTATATAATATTTAAAAAGAGGAATTAAATGCGTTAAATTTACATATATTCATATATTAAATACTAAAATAACATATTATCAATTAAATTTAATTATCATCTCCTTATAAGGAAAATAAAATTAATCTCATAATTTTTTACGATTTACTTTTCTCATATGTATGTACAATGATTTTATCTTCTCAATAATATTAACTATATCTTAAACTTCTCTTTAACCATTTTTTTGTTAATTTTGTAAAAAAATTATTATTTAATATACATAAAATTGTAATAATTATAAAACTTTTTAAGAGACTGTTAGAAAATATGATTTTGTTACAATATACTAAATTATATTTTCTTAAACATTAAAAAAAAGCGAATCGATGCTAATTTTACAATGTAACAAAAATTAATGTTTCAAATTAGTGTTTTCGTAATTTCACTAAAATGAAGTATATATACATCATATAATTTGATCTTAAATTGTACATACATACAAATGTATAAAAGATACTGAAAAAAATATGAATTAAATAGAAATGTACGATAAATAAATTTAGAAAATAATATGTGAAAAATTCTAATAATCAGTGGATACTGATATATGGCTTTAAAGGCGTGCGATTCAATGTACATGCGTGTATACGTTTCTCACTCGTACATAAGAATTACATACATGTATACATATTGTCATTTTCATATATATATATATATATATATATATATTATATATATATTATTGTGTGTGAGTAGTTCTATTGTATTGTTAGTTGATATTTGAGAAACATTGTATAGTAGATTCTGATAGTATAATTATATTAAATGGGCCAAAGTTGTAAAAAATTTATTTTATTATCGAACCTGTCTAATTTGTAAATATAAAAAAATGTATTAGTCATATTATAAATCTTAACATAGAAGGCATATTGACTAAAATCATACTTCATAATTTTTTTACAACAGGATTCATGTTTCTTAATTCTTAATGGATGAAATTTTCTTTTACATTTATTACATGTAACAAGCTGAGACTGATATTCCTCCCAATTTACTTGAGCATAACTGAATTCTAAAACAACGATGTTAAAATTAAAATACAAGATATAATACGATATAAAAATAGAGAGAATTTTCATTTCTAATATATATATATATATTATTATATTTAATATTCACTAATAAATTAAGTTAATTTTTAAATACATTACAAGTTAACTTACCTACAGGATCTTGATATTGTTCTTGTTCTTTTATTGTAGAATTAGCAGATATGACTAATGATGTATCAGAAATGTTACAAGATATTGTCATATTTTGATTTGGACTATGAATTGGTGTTCTAGGTATTTCATGTTTAGGTTTCATAGGATTAAAATCATTATCACTATCCTAAAAACAAGAATATTCAATAATATG